TATTTAGGGAACATCCTCTGGAATGAATGCAGTGCTTTGTGCAACCTAAGAGTTGTGGAAACGGTGGCGAGTAACCTCTTCTTCCGTGTAAAGCGACAGAGAGAAGGAAGGACCTTGACCTAACTCTTCCCAAGAAAGCCAGAAATTGACTGTGTTGGGTGTGGGTCAAAGTGGCAACGATCCGTCACCTTTCTCCGGATTAAATCCTGACATTTATCTCACTGGCAGGAGAATAAATCCTGTTTACACGCCCATTTTTTTCCCCCTTCCAGATGACCCAACTCTCGAATCGGCTGCGGGATTCCATGTCGGATGCAGCGTGGAAAGACTAAGCATTATTGAGGTACAGCATTCGAACCCATGCCCTGCTCATATAGAAAAGCAAACAGGCTTAACTATCCTGCACCCTGCGTCTGGGATCTGACCGTAAGTCTTGAGATATGGGCTCCAAAACGGCTGGGTTTTTTTTCTCTGTTCATCCAAAGCGGGCCCCAGAATTACGGTCACGAAACCATTGCAGTCATAAGTCGAGGCAACGCATAACCAATTTTAGGAGAGTTTTTTTTTGCGGAGAGTATTAAGCGAACGCGGCAGTCATTAAGTAGATCGAGTTTCCCCAATGGGTATTTTTTCCCCCCTGAAAACCAGGATTAAATGGAGGAACCCAGTTGCAAATCAAAGCCATGCGATCGTGGTGGACAGCCGTAAATGCAATCTGGTTATCGGAAAAATGTGTTCAGGTGACTGCATAGAGCAGGGGTCCCCAAACTTGGCCACTTTAAGACTGGTGGACTTCAACTCCCAGAATTCTCCAGCCAGCATAGCTTAACTCTCTCGTAATCCCTTCCTCTGCAATCTCTCTCCGCTTTAGGAGATTAAGAGGGAGAAGAAAAATCAGGCATGTCTGGCTGGGGAATTCTGGGAGTTGAAGTCCACCAGTCTTAACGTTGCCAAGGTTGGAGACCACTGGCACAGGGGAAGATGTGGGGCAGCTGTAACTCTGGAGCGGTCCTAAGTAGCTTTGGGGATTCAGGTAACAGATAATCAGAGTTGGAAGGGACCTTGTAGGTCATCTAGTCCAACCCTCTGCCCAAGCAGGAGACCCGACACCATTTCTGACAGATGGCAGTCCAATCTCTTCTTGAAAGCCTCCAGGGATGAAGCTCCCACAACTTCCGAGGGCAGCTTTTGTTCCATTGGTTGATTGTTCTCACTGTCCGAAAATTCCTCCTTATTTCCAGGTTGAATCTCTCCTTGTTCCGTTTCCATCCATGGTTCCTTATCTGGCCTTCAGGTGCCTTGGAGAATAGCTTGACCCCCTTCCTCCTCTCTGGGGCAGCCCCTCAAATACTGGAAGGCTGCTCTCCTGTCTCCCTTGGTCCTTCTCTTCCCTAGACTAGCCAGGCCCAGTTCCTAGATTCCGTCATTACTTCAAACGTTTGCTAAGCGAGCGATCGTAAGTCGAACGTGACCTGTCCAATTCCGTCCCTTCTATCATTTCCATGCAAAACCCAGGGAGCTTTACGGGAATCCGATCCAGTTTTATGCAACACGTCTGGCTAATTATAAGGAGAATAAACACATAGCGGCAACAGTGTTCAATTAAGGTGCCAATGTGCCAAGGGGAAGTTGGAAGTGATACAAAATATAAAACACACACACACACACACACAACTGAACAGGTTCCAGGAAAGAGCTCAGATCTATTCTTGTCGCCCTTCCAGCTGATCCTACATTGTGTTTACGCATGGTCTTCTCGCCTGTGGCACCTAAGCCTTCCATAGTGTCCAGGGGTCCATAGGGACATCTCCAAGGGTTTTTTTTTTTGGCTCCATTGCAGCAGAAGGGATCTGCCTAGCCAGCAGGCCAGAAAATCTGAAGCAGTGATGGCACTGCCATGCAATGCGTCCTGCCGCCCCTGTGCATGTACACACAACACCAGCGTCCTGCCACTTACCTGCACTCTGCATACATGCAAAAAGAGGCCCATTTCGGCACTTCCGGTATTTCTGGAAGGCCCGTTTTTCGGCCTCCCAAGGCTGCAGAGGCTTCCCTCGAGCCTCCAGGAGGACGAAAACGGCCTCAAATGGGCCTCAAATCAGCTGGGAGGCGCGCCGATCATTTCGGCTGGGACTCGTGTGCCCACCCAAATGGCTCTGCATGCCACCGGTTTGCCATTATGGATCTGAAGGCTTCCAGGCGATGGGTCCATACCCCTCTAAACTTCCTGCTTCTCCAAGAGGCCCTTGAGAATCCGCCTGACCTGAATCTGGTCTCTTCTTTCCAGGATGAAGCGGCGCCTCCCCTGGCGCAGCCCAGCCAGATCCATGTCCTCCTTTTGGTCCTGCACGGAGGCAACATCCTTGACACGGGAAGTGGGGAGCAGAGCTCCAAGCAGGGGGATGTCAACACCATCGCCACCGCCTTCGATACTGTCATCAGGGTCCATTACCCGGCCACCCTGGGCCGGATAGCCATCAAGCTGGTCCCTTGTCCGGCCATCTGCTCCGAAGCGTTTTCGCTGGTCTCCAAGTGAGTGGCCCCTTGGCTTTCTGGAAGATGGGATAAGGGTTTAGGGAAGGGGCCATAAGGCCGCTTCCCAAGAGTGTCTTGGTGTGGAACTCTAGTCTCCAGCTTGTGTCGTGATTCAGTGGAGTGAGGTGCCAGCTGTGGACCTCACATCTGGCTTTGCTTTTGATGGCTGCGTGCATGGGACTGGGAGGGAGGCTTCCTTAAGCCCCGATTGGGGCATGACCAAGTCTCCACCACCGTTAAGCCATCTTCATCCAGCTATATATCTGCTGTGTCTGCCTGTCTCTCTCTGCCTGCTTGCCTATCCATCCTTCTTTCCTTTCCCTTTTCCTTTCCTCATGCAGAATTGGAAATTTTGATCTTCTGCAAGCTGCAGCCAAACCAAATAAACCTTCCTTAAAACAGATGGTTGTCCAGCCTCTTAAAAATATCCAGAGGTAGAGAAACCTCTCTCCCTTCACTCGCTTTTGTCCTTCCTTCCTTCCTTCCTTCCTTCCTTCCTTCCTTCCTTCCTTCCTTCCTTCC